TATAAAATAGTGAAAACAAGACTTGTTTGGTAAAAACCAAGTCCTCAAGGTCGTAAATCACGTGCGTACGGTTTTGACCGTTTTTCACGTGTTAGACCGATTGACCAAGATACAAAAGTGGTTTTTATAAAATAATTATTCGGAAACCTTTAAAATATGCTCAGAGATAAAAACAGGGTTTAAAATATTGAAAACCACGGAGTTGGTTCGGGCGCCAAAAAAACCGAACGCCGAAAACCGAACGACGAAAGCCGAACGCCGACTTAGGTGGTTTTGGTTCTGAGCAAGGACCAGGGATTTTAACAATAAGGAGATTTATCTAAAATGTTTATTTTGATGCATAAAAACATTTTATGATTTTGTAAAATAATTTTGACTCTTTGAGAACCGAGACTTGAATTGATTATCGGTTTTGATCACAAAAGACCGACTCGACTAAGTCTTCAATTCTTGATCTGTCCTTGAGTCTTTTAGGTCTTGTTCCAAGCCATTCTTCACGCCTTGAGTTATTCAACGAAACTCTTCATATCCACGGCGGTTTGGAAATTATCAAAACCTGTCAGAAATGAACACGACTTTAGTTTAACGTGTAAAGTGTGTTCCAACAGAGGAAGGTCCCGAAGAGAATTCAGGTGTTGGGGCTCCAAGCGAGGGGAATACCAATGAGGAGGAATCAGAAGAAGAATTAGAGATAGTCAGATCAATAAAGACAACTCTGTTTGCATTATTAGCCATGTTGAGAAGTTGGCTATGTTAATGAAAGTGTCCTGCCTGGTTCCTTAAATAGGCGAGTGACGCTAAGAGGGAGTGCGAAGGACGCGGAGTCAAAGTGCTTATCTGATTGGGAAACAGTTGCGGATTCCCGAGGAAAACTAGGGTTGCGCCACTCATCATGGGCTTGGGTGAATTGGGCCCGGCGTATTTAAGGTGGGCAGTCACTTAGCGTGACACGAGCGAGCGTGTGGGTTAAGCCCAAGTCTTAAAGCAGGTAAGGATTTCGCTAAGTCCCAAAGAAGAATGGAAATTCGAAGAGAAAAACAGTTAACCCAAAGAAAGGAATCTACTGGGATGTAAGTACAAACGAGATATTGACAAAGGATAAAATGCTACAAGCATCACCATGTTGATACAACAAAAATATTACAAGGCAAAATACAACAACTGTTGCGGAGGAAGAGAATCAAAGTCCCGGATTGGCACGAGGATCTGGGGGAGGAAGAGGAAGAGGCAAGCCGTAGTATGTGATGAAATCATTCAAGGCCCGGTGAGCCGGAAGACCACTCTGGATCGCCTCATAAATGCAGAACTGCATGTCAAATTTCCCCTCTTCGTAGAGGGCCTCTGCACGGGCAGTCAAGGCGGCCACCTCTCCTTGATGGGAAGCCACAGTCTTCTCCAATTCTCCCACCTTCAACCGGAGCTCATTGGCAATCTTTCTCTCCTTCTCCAGCTTCTAGAGGGCTTCCCGTTTCAACCCCATGTGTTTCAACATGACCTCACTAAAGTGGGCACCCTCTTGCTTGGCCTCATGGAGTGATTTCTCCAACTCAGAGATCCGGGATTTCCTTTCAACTAGTTCAGCTTTCAGGCTCCCTTCTTTGCCTTCCAAGGCAGAGATTTTCGACTCTAGACAGGAGATTTGCCCCCGGAGTTTGTCAAACTGTTCCTCCAGGTCCTGGGTACTTCCTTGGTAGGTGGCAATCTGCTCTTGCAGGGACTTGACCCTAGAACTCTCAGCCAGCAGTTCTGCTGAGGCATCTGCTTTGGGCCTAGCATTCTCCTCTTGTAGGGATTGGACTTGCTGCTCGAGGAAACCAACCTTCTGTTGCAGAGCTTGGGCGACCAACTCCTTATCCTTTAGGACCACCATGGCCTGGTAATTTCCCCATGCTCCACCCAGCCCAGAGTGAGGAGTGATTGTTGGGCCTAGAAGGGTGGGAGGAAAGTCAAGAAAGGGATGATTTAAGAGGAGTAAGGAGACTTTCGAAAGAGAAGGGTACCTGCTCCATGGAGTGTTGGACACCGAGGGCAAGCAGGTCAGGGCGTGCCTGTGGAATTAGGGGATCCTGCACCGATCCCCTCATCTTCTCCAGATTGACCTGGATGGTAGAGTGGGAGGCCTTCAGGGAGTTCAGACCATGAGAAAAATCTGCCCAACCCTCTCTGAAGACAGGATAAGTTTGCGGCGTGAACCTGCACCGGATGGGGAGATTGAAGGTCGAGGATGCTGCGGCGGGACGCTGCTCCTCCGGTTCCTTCTATCCCCTAACCTCTTTCTCCATCCTTTGAGAAGTGGCAGCAGTTGACGGGGAGGCGTTTTCCACCACAGGCTGAGGTTGCCCCGCGGGTCTTTGGAGTGGCGCTTGGTTAGAAGATTTATCCGCTTCACGGTCCAAGCTATCTGGGTTGGGTAACTCCAGCTCTCCAGATGCGACATCGGTAGTGGCGGCTTGAGTGCCAGAAGAAGCAGTCAGGGGGCTGGGCGAAGCGGGAGTGCCATCACCCTTACTCTTCTTAGGAAGGAAGTCATCATCAGTTATCCCTTCCCGTGGCCGCTTCTGAGACGGCATGGGCCTACTTAGCCTAGGAATGGCAGAGATGGGAACGGCATCCAGGGCGGCAGATGGTGTGCAAATTACCAAGGTAGTAGCGCCACCTTGAGCCTAGTCCCCGGAGGGATCTCCAACTAGATGAGATTCTACAGTGGGAGAAGCCTCTAACGTCCCGGGGGAGGACGCCCCATCAAACGGGATAGGGTCAGGGCCTAGAGGATAGTAGAAATCCACCTTCTTGTACAATTCGGAGAACTGAAGGGAATGATGTAAAATCAGCCCCCTCTCCTCTCTCAAGGCGTTGTACACTCCCTCCACCCGGGGCACGGCCGGGAACGGAGTCCGGGAGAGGGAACCACGGCGTAACAGTCCTGGCAGATCTATAGGGCTATGGACCGGGAATTCAATGATGAAGTAGCGACAGGCCCATCTGTCAATTTTGGCCTCAACCTTCTCAAAAACTGGGAACTTGGGATGAGGAAACACACTGTAGAAAGGGAAAACTCTACCGATGCTGAAAAGGGCGAGAAATTCATTCAGACTCGGGGTCCTATCCTGGGCACAACACCGTAAGATGTAGGATGCAACATATTTATGTGCATTCGCGGTCAATTGGCCAGGGGGGAACTCAAAGGTCCGGCAGATGTCGCGGACTAAACCATGGAGGGGCAGCCTGAACCCGTTCCCCACCGAATGGTAATGCATGACCATGTATTTCCGGGATCCGGATTATGAGTTAGACTGATCCTCCCAACAGCATCAGGATGGTGAATCCGGAAGCCTTTGCCTAGGAATTCCGCCATTTCTCGAAGTTCCTCCTCTTTGATGATGGAGGATTCATGGACCCAAGTAGCGGGGTCAATGGAGGTGGCCATTTCGGAGAAAGAGACGAGAATTTGGGAGCAATTGCAGTCGGAGTTCGGGTCGGGTCAAGATTCGGCAACGTAGAAAGAATAAGATAGATGAGTCCAGAAGGGGTTATATCCATTGTGAGGGGAGACTCGAGGCACTCGAGTGCGACCTTTCCAATCCGACACAAAAACCGAAGGCGGCTTATCATTAGTTTCCTAGCGACAAGTCGCCAGGAAACTAGGGGGCTTGTGATGGATATTGGGTCTGATGGACCCGACTCTAGGCCCGATAAAGGCCCACAATCGTGCAAGGAAAACGAGTTTAGGTGTGCGTAACGGATCAGGCCCAACAAGGCGCGCAGGGGCAACGAGGCGGACGACCCAATCATGGGCTGGACTGAGACAACCCGGTCCGAGAAAGGAATACGGCACATGACCCACGCTCCAAATCGTGGGGAAATGGAAAGAAATCAAGACCGGAAAGGAAGGGAATCACGACCCCATGATCCCCATAAACCTTCCGTAATGTTGTAACCTTGGCCGAGGAATTAGAGGTACTATAAAAGGGGGAAGAACCCGCCATTGTAAAGGGGGAAGAAAGAGAATTGATTACAGACCCAATTAAGAATATTATTGCGAGATTATACTTTCCTGATTCTTATTCCGTTCTTGGTCCGCCATCTGATCGGGTTAATCCCATCAGGTTAGTTTTGAAATATTTTGTCTTTGAAAAAGATTTACTTCATGGTTAGAGACTGGATAAATAAATTTAAATATGAGATTTTGTCCTAAAATATTAGTTTCTACTCCTTTTTCTGTTACTTTAAAAGGATAAAGCATTTGTAAGAATGGATTGCCTAATATAATTTTTGTGTTTAATCGTTTAACTAACATCAATCTTGTTTTGAAACAAATATTATTATTACATATGTGTGCATTTGGTACCTTATATTATATTTTTACTTTTGTTGAATTAGCAGCTGAGAGGTAATGTTTAGTTTTATGAAAATATTTTGTTGGAATTAATCCTTCTTCAATGGAATTCATATCTGCTCCTGAATCTAACATAGCTATTCCTTTTAACTCAAAGTCTTTTATTTTTAAATTTATTTCAACATACCATTTCTGAAATCTAATTCTTATTATTTCATCTAATTTGAATTCTTCATTTATCTCTTGTTCTTTTTCACGGTCAGAACTACTTTTGCTAGAGCAGGATAATGTTTCTTTTATTTTTTCAAGTGCTAATTTCCTTTTTTAATTTCTTGTGGTTGTTTTCTATTTCTTCACACCTTTGTTTTATTTGTCTAATTTCTAATTTTAGTTCTCTAACTTCATTTTGTAGATCTAGGGATGAAATATTTTTACTTGTTTTGTTATTGCGAAACATTTTTTCAATATCTTCAAAATTGGTTGGTTTAGCTAGGTCTTCTTGTGTTTCTTTGTTAATAATCTTTGCTAATTGTTTCAAAAAAAATTCTTTAATTCAGGGTTATCTACCTGTTTAATTTTTTCAAAGATAGTGTTATAATCTGTTAGAACATTTAATTTATTATTGCAAAAGCATCTCCATCACTGCACTCACATTTACTGCTTTCACTAGTTCCTGTTTCTGAAGAACTAGAGTAATCGTCTTCTAATTCTGAGGACAAAATCTTTATTTGGTCAATTTTTTGAATTAATTGATCAGTTTCTTTTATTCCTAATTCTAGGCATATATCTCTTGAATTCATTTCTTTGTTAGGCAATTCTTTGCATAATGTCCTTTTTCTTTGCATAAATAACAAGTTACTTCCTGAATATTTCTTTGTCCTTTTGTCTTATATGTGTTAGACAAGGCGTGCAACTCTAGAGAGGGGTGAATAGAGTTGTTGAGAATGTTTACCGATTTTCGCAGGATTAATAATATAAACGTAAGTGCAATGGAAATAAAAGAGAGAAGGCAAAGAACACACCGACGATGTATACTGGTTCACCACCTCGTGGCTAGTCCAGTTCCCCGAGAGACTCTCTCGAAGCTACCACTACTTCCGTTAAGCTTACGGGTGCTTAACAAACCGTTTACAAGTCGAGAACTTGAATCCCACAAGCCTCGACACAACCGCTCGTAGATATGCCCTCTACAAGACTTCACAACCAAGACTTAAGTCACATAAGTCTAATGCAACAAGAAGAACAATCTTCTTCAACCTCTCAACATAAACTCTCAAAAGAGTAGAAATAACAAAATGTTTAGCTCTAATGGATGACAAGAAACCTCTCTTAAAAACAAATAAATTTCTCTCAAAATAATATAAATTTGAGGAATGATTGATGGAAGATTAACACCTCAAGAATGGGGAGTATTGGAGTGTTTCTTGTTATTAAAAAATGACCAAGGAAAGATGTTTAAATATGAGGTGAAGAAATATATTCGTTGGTCCAAGAAAAGGAGTTGTGCTGAAAAGATGCAGCATAATAATCGATTAATGCAGAGCAAATAATCGATTAATGCAGTCTACGCAAAATGATAATCGATTAGAATGCTCTGAGTAAACTAATCGATTAACGGGAGGAAAATAATCGATTAGATCAAAGTAGCTCAACACGAAGTAAAACTCAATTAATCGATTAATCAAGAGAATTTAATCGATTAATCAAAACAAAACTGGGTAAACCGATTAAGGTGAGAATATTAATCGATTAGATTTGAAATGATGCGCAAACACAAGGGCCCCAAGCCAGTTGCGAGATGAGTAGTAAAAAATGTCTTAACGCGATTGTTTCAGAGAAGAGGAATAAGAGACGCTCCTCAAACAAAACCTCTCCTATTCAATGAATTTGAATAAGGGAGTAAAAGTGAGTCTAAAAATTTATTTTGTGTGTCAAACGATGTACACGAAAAATATTTGAATAAAATATTTTTGCTTACCAAAAATATTTTATAATATCAAAATAAATATTTTGATAAGTGTTTGACACACTTTTTGAAACTGACTCAATAAAAGTATTTTGAAGAGTTAAAAGATTTTTCAACTGACTCCAAAAATAAATATAATTTTTATTTTAACTCTCATAAAAATAATTTTGGAGAGAAGATATTTTGTCATCCTTACAATTATTCCTACGACTCAAATAAATAAAAAGTCTTCGGAAATCTTCTACTCCTCCGAGTCCTCCGTTAAGCGCTCTGAACGCGTCTCGGACTCCAATAAAAGCCTGTGCACCTTCTTGAATACTTCAAGGAATGACACTTCAAGTCTTCGTGTTTGTCGTTGTAGCAGTTTGATATTGACTTGAATAAATTGTGTTTGTCAATTATCAAAACATGTGAGTCAACACTTAACAACATAGAAAGGGTTGAACTCATGCATTCCAACAATATGATCTTTTTTTTCTTATGACAGTTTGGGGTGTTCTTCTTCTTGCTCTTTTTAAGCTCATGTTTCATAAACTCGTTAAAACATTCAACCAAAATATCACACGAAGTGCTAGAATCACTATCAACACTAGAATCGCTATCACTATCCGAATCATTAATCTCTACTCTTTGGGAGAGGATGCTTTAAAAGCAATTCCCATTTTCTTCTTTAGATCAAGAGTAATGTTAGAATAAGTGCCCTTCACTAGAGGGGGATGAATAGTGAGGCACGAGAATGTTTATAAATTTTCGCGGAATAAAAATCGCAGGGATAAAGTAAAGAGCGGAATAAAAAGCGTAAGGAGAGAACACACCGATTTTACCTTGGTTCACCACAACGTGTGGCTAGTTCAGCCTCCCGAGAGACTCTCTCGAGCTACACTATCAACGTTAAGCTTACGGGTGCTTAACAAACCGTTACAACCTGAGAACTCGAGTCCCACGAGCCTCAATACACTTGCTCGGAGATACCGCACTCCAAGACTTGAACCCGAAGGAATATGCCCTTCCTTCGTACAACCAAGGGAACAAACCTCCCTTAAAGTGTTCACAAAACTTAACCACTCAAGAACAAAAACTCTCTTAAAGAGTAGAATATGAGCAAACTAATTTAGATCAAGAACACACTCAATTCCTCAAGAAATGGCTCTAAAAAGCTATGTAAAAAGTTTATGGAATGATACAATGTAAAGCTATGAAATGTGTGAGGAATGATTGTGAAAAGTAGACCCAAAAGACCCCTTTTTATACCCAAAAACAAGGTGCAACGGTTCGGAGAAGATTGGGGTTGATTGGCTTGATTTGTGGAAATCAAATAAAAGTGGATCTGCTGAAATCTAGCCCGACAGCGCTGTTCATATAGGAACATCGCTGTTTTGGCTTTGACTTTCCTTTAAAAATGGCTAACGGTCATCAAAACATCGATGTCTAGAAGTCTACATCGATGTTGGGGTGTTTGACTTTCAAAAATGGAAAGATTTTGTCTTAAATAGCCCAACGGTCATTTGAAAACAGCGATGTTCAACCATGAACATCGCTGTTCAAAAACTTACAGCCCAGGGCTTCTGAAGGCCAACATCGCTGTTGGGATTTCCGACATGGATGTTGGGATGGTTTGCCAGAACCATGGTTTGGCAGCCAACGCCGAAAACCGATGTCAAAAACCAAAGTTCTCCAAAATGAAAACCAAGTGTTGGAAACTCTTATATAATGTATTTAATGTAGAAACCAAGTATAAAAACTTAAAAACCACTTCATTAAGGTAAAAATCACGGCTAGCCAAGTTTATGTCGTTTCACATGGTTTTCACCAAAAGACCAAAAACGAAAGGTGGTTTTTAACATGTTTTTGTTGTAAAACCATTTTGATATGTCCATAAGTAAAAACCAATCATAAAATATTAAAAACCACTTGATTGATTTGGGCGCCAAAAACCAACACCGATAACCGGCGCCGAAAGCCGATAACCAATGCCGAAAAACAAAGGTTATGGTTTTTGAAAACTAATCATTTGGAAAACCTTTAAATGTGTCCAGAAGCATAAACCAAATATAAAAACCCGAAAACCATTTGGTTAAAATCAATGCCAATAACCAATGCCGAAAACCGAACGCCATAGCCGAACGCCGATAACCGATGGTTATGGTTTTGGTTAAGCAAGAACCATGGGTTTTAGAAACTTAAAAACCATTTATGAAAACACTCATTTGATGCATGAAAAACATATTTTGTTTTGAGCCATGACGTAGAGAAATTGAATGAGCTTGTTACAATAAAACCTAAGTCTTTAGAATACGTCTTCAAAACGCCAATGTCGCCATCTTTAGCAGCGTCAATGCCTTTCTTGTGCTTTTTGTTTCTTCAAAGAACTTTTTCTATCTCTTTGAATCTTTTCATTTTGTTCCATGTTCCCGACGGTTTGTCAATATCAAAACCTAAATGGAAACAAACATTGTCATTAGCAAAATGTCAAAGTGAAAATGTTTTCCAACA